AGATCTCTTGTAGGGCTGGTTTAGTGGTGATGAATTCCTTCAGTTTTTGTTTGTTAGGGAAAACCTTTATCTCTCCTTCTATTCAGAATGACAGACTTGCTGAATAAAGGATTCTTGGCTGCATATTTTTCTTATTCAGCACATTGAAAATTTCCTGCCACTCCTTTCTGGCCTGCCAAGTTTCAGTAGATAGGTCTGCTACTACCCTTATGTGTCTATCCTTGTAGGTTAACGCCTGTTTATCCTTAGCTGCTTTCAGAATTCTTTCTTCATCTTTGTATTTTGCCAGTTTCACCATGATATGTCATGCAGAAGATCAATTCAAGTTATGTCTGAAGGTAGTTCTCTGTGCCTCCTGGATTTCAGTGTCTGTTTCCTTCCCCTGATTGGGGAAGTTCTCAGCTATGATTTGTTCAAGCACACCTTTGGCCTCTTTCTCTCTCTTCTTCTTCTGGAACTCCTATGATACATATATTGTTCCATTTCATTGAATCCCTTAGTTCTCTAATTCTCCCCTTGTGATCCAGATTTTTTTTATATCTCTTTTTCTCAGCTTCATCTTTTTCCATAATTTTATCTTCTATTTCACCAATCTCCCCCTCTGCCTCTTCAATTCTCGCTGTCAACCACCTCTAGTTTATTTTGTACCTCATTTACAGCATTTTTAATTCAGCATGACTATTTTTTAGTTCCTTGATCTCTGCAGCAATAGGTTCTCTGCTGTCTTCTATGCTTTTTTCAAGTTCAGAGATTAATCTTATGACTGTTATTCTAAATAATTATTCAGTTATACTGTTTATATCTGTTTTGAGCAATTCTTAACTGTCCTTTCCTCCTGGAATTTCTTTTGAGGAGAATTCTTCTGTTTCATCATTTTGGCTAGTTTTATGTCCCTTATGTGTTTTAAAATCGGGGCGCCTGGGTGGCGCAGTCGGTTAAGCGTCCGACTTCAGCCAGGTCACGATCTCGCGGTCCGTGAGTTCGAGCCCCGCGTCAGGCTCTGGGCTGATGGCTCAGAGCCTGGAGCCTGTTTCCAATTCTGTGTCTCCCTCTCTCTCTCTGCCCCTCCCCCGTTCATGCTCTGTCTCTCTCTGTCCCAAAAATAAATAAACGTTGAAAAAAAAAAATTTAAAAGCTTGTTATGTGTCTTGTGCCTCTGAGAACTACTATATTAAAGAGGGGTAATACACTGTCCAGGGCCTGGCCCTTCAGGAGGTGTTTTTTGGAGAGTGTACTTGCTGTCTGTTGTTGTGAGTTTGGTTACTTTATCTCCCTACTCATAGTGATGTTTTGAACCCTTCACTAGGTGTGCTTTGATTTGTTCCTTGAAGTATCCCCAGAAAGGAAAACAAACAAACAAAAAACACACAGAAAACAAAAACACTCAAACACACGCATAAACAAAAAAACAAAAACAAAAACAAAAAAACCCAAACATGAGCTACAAGTAAATAAAAGGGTGGAGGAGGTACTGATGGAAGCCGCCTTATCCCATACAAAGAGAGAAATGACAAGGGAGGGGAAAAATAAAGAATAAAAATTGACCAGAAAAACTATATGGCTTAATCCAGAGAGAAAGAGTAAGAAAAACAAAGAAGGAGTAAGGGAAAAAGAAAAAGAAAATAAAGTTATCCATACAGAGAAACTGTAGGGCTTAATCCAGAGAGAGAGAAAGGAGAATAAAGAAAGAGATGTGGAACATGTATCAAGAGAATGGATTAAATATGTCTGTTTAAACAAGCCAGCAACCAGAGTAACCAGACTAGAGGAGGGAAGAGATAAGAAGGAGAAAAGGAAAGAAGAATGTATCTATATAATAAGAATTGTCTGAGAATTAAATCAGGCAATGCAACAGCGCTGGTCTGGAGTAGGGGCCATCTGGTTCATCAGTATCAATCCCACTCCAGTAGATACACAGTTATCAGGTGCGGAGGGGCGTGGTATGGTGTGCGCTGGCCTTGCCTCCACTGTGCCCCCCCCCCCCGGCTGCCCATTGCTGAAGTCCCACCTTGTTGGTGATGAGGAGAAAATGGTGACACCCCAGTCTCTCCTCCATGGGCCAGGTGTCCCAAACCACTCTGTTTGAGCTGTCCTCACTGTGCTGCGGCTGCAAATGAGGCGTTTTGTCTTGCTCCGCCAACTCCTGTGTCCTGGTGCTTGGCTGGAATTCAAACTCCCGCTCTGTGCGCCCAGTACTGGGGAAGCAGCACTCCATGCTGCCCAATAGGTGATCCCTAACTGGTGGGCACAGGCCAGGCAGCTGACCCCAGTCCCAGTCCGGAGAAAGCCCCTCAGTTAGAGATTGCCTCCTTCTCTGTCCCAGTCTGTGATTTTTTTTTTCTTGTCTAGATACAGACCTATGCTTCCCCAGCTGCTCCTTCTCTTCCCTTTGTCTCTCTGCAGAAGGGGATCCCTCCCCTCGGTTCATTTTGTCTCTTCCAGTTCACAGTCACACACCTATGACCCATCAGGTTGTCCTGGTGGGTCCCTGGAAGCCACAGTCTCTTTTCCTATTGGACTCTTGGAGTTCAAAGTCCTTTAGCTTCAACACTACTTTGTGAGATGAGGGAACTTTGGATCCCCTTACTTCTCCACAATGTTGGCCCCTCCTCCTAGAAAGGATCTTAAATACACATTGCCAAGTGAAAGAAGGCAGTCTAAGAGAGCTACTACTTTCTGCCATGAAGTTTGCAATATTGCAATCAGCTGGAGATAACTAACCCTCTTTAGAATTCTTAACACTTTGAAGCTCACTCAAGGGCCTTATCACTTTCCTTTTGGTCAGTTGTGTTCATTGCCTAAAGTACTTTGAAAAGTACTGCCTAGACATTGTCTAAAGTGGAATTTTAAAAAAGAGCAGTGTGTTCTCCAGTGAAGAAACAGCAAAACCTAGTCACCTTATGATTTTTTTGGATTTAATATTTGAGGTAACCAGATAATTGTTCATTCATTTTATCTAGCATAAAAATAATGTAAACAATTCCTACTCCAAGAAGTAGAAATCTACATTATGATATCAATCCCTAACCTAAACCCAGTTTACTCAAGTTTTCTTAGCAACAGTTACATAACCAGAAACACATACTAATTTTTCTCAGTAACAATAGAAATTCTGAAAAGTTTAACATTGTTGTAGAACTACTTGACATAACCCAAGGATGAGACAAATATATTTGAAGGTTTAAAATATCTCTTTTATTATATGTGGGACACCACAACATTCTATTGTAATTTTAATAAATTTAAGCTTATATGGCTCAAAATTCTATGAATCCATTCAGCTTCAATTAAGCCTAATAACTGTTCAAATATTTTTTGTGTGTAAAGCTTGTCAATTAGTTAACAATGTCATGAGGCCAGTGAGTGTTTCCTAACCTACTAGATCAGTGACAATCAGTCTTTCTTGTTCATTATAATCACCTGAGGAGCTTTAAAAACTGCAAATATCTGTGTCCCATCTTCAGAAATTTTTATATGATTGTTCAGGGACTGTGGCATGGGCATGGGATTTTAAAAAATCTCCTAGTATAATTCTAATGTGCAACCAAAGCTGAGAATCATAAGAATCGACCATGTGTGCAAGATAATTTAATGTAGCTTTGTTAAAAACTTCCAGTAGGTGGGCTAGATTCCAAAATCTATAAATAACTCACTAAACTCCACATCCAAAAAACAAATAATCCAGTGAAGAAATGGGCAGAAAACACGAATAGACAGTTCTCTTAAGAAGATATCCAGATGGCCAACAGGCACATGAGAAGATGCTCCACATCACTCCTCATCAGGGAAGTACAAATCAAAACCATAATGAAATGTCACCTCATGCCAGTCAGAGTGGCCAAAATGAACAAACCAGGAAACTATAGATACTGGAGAGGATGTGAAGAAACGGGAACCCTCTTGCACTGTTGGTGGGAATGCAAACTGGTGCAGCCGCTCTGGAAACCAGTGTGGAGGTTCCTCAAAAAATTAAAAATAGGTCTACCCTGTGACCCAGCAATAGCACTGCTAGGAATTTACCCAAGGGATACAGGAGTGCTGATGCATAGGGGCACTTGTACCCCAATGTTTATAGAAGCACTTTCAACAATAGCCAATTACGGAAAGAGCCTAAATGTCCATCAACTGATGAATGGATGAAGAAACTGTGGTTCATATACACAATGGAATACTACTTGGCAATGAGAAAGAATGAAATCTGACCATTTGTATCAACATGGATGGAACTGGAGAGTGTTATGCTAAGTGAAATAAGCCATACAGAGAAAGACAGATACCATATGTTTTCACTCTTATGTGGACCCTGAGAAATGTAACAGAAGACCATGGGGGAGGGGGAAGGCAAAAAAAAGAGAGGGAGAGAGCCAAACCATAAGAATCTCTTAAAAACTGGGAATAAACTGAGGGTTGATGTGGGAGGGAGGGGAAAGTGGATGATGGGTATTGAGGAGGGCACCTGTTGGGATGAGCACTGGCGTTGTATGGAAACCAATTTGACAACAAATTTCAAAAAAATACATAAATAAAACTAAAAAAAATAAATAAATAAAACAAAACTTCCACTAGGCCATACAGCATGGGCTGTGGACTGCATGTAGCCTATAAACTAAACTTTGGCTCCTGGTTCAATCTAAATGAATTCAATTTGATGATCTGTTAGTTAATTCATTTCCTTCATAGTCTCTTTCCATTACACATGAACTAATCCATCTTTGAGAAAGCTAAACATTCCAAGTATACCTTACTTTTATGGAAAGCATTTAGGTAGATCATTAATCATGCTTAGTTTCTGTGGCTTATATATTCCTTTTAAAATAATTTTAAAAACCCTCCTATGTATCAGTAAAAATAACCACTAGAATTGCTGACTGAATATTCTTATGTATAATTTCAAATCCCATTTTTTTTTCCTCTTAAGGTCTTCTGCATACTGGAGAACAACACTGTAAATTGTTTTAAATGACTGAAAATGGAAATTTATTTTTTTTCTCTTTTAACAGAAATACCTACTTGGGCTTGATTGTGAGCTTAAGATTTTCAGCACTTATTCTGCTTGTTGTATTAATTTTCACTATGAAGAAAATATATCAAGGAAAATATACCAAGGCATCAGAAAATGGAAGAAAAGATATGAATGAAGCAAACTTAGAACCCTTAAATAATGATGGATATTTTGTACCTTCTTCGGACAATGAAGCACATATGTAAGGGGAAGAAAAGAATATGTTGCTGTGTTTTACACTAACATTGTATTAAAGTAGTAGGATGTTATTTTGAGCAGTTCTTGGTCTTTTCACTGAGAGTCCTCACACTCTTCACTTATGAAGGTACAGCAAATCACCTATGAATTTGTCATAATGAACCAGACTATATATAAAAAGGAATGAGAGTACTCTTTGTTCAGGGTATGACTATGCATTTTAGGTGAACATTAATGCAGATGATCCATACAAATTTATAGTGAGAGGTATGGTTAGTATGTAATAAAAATTTTTTGCCCAGGTAATTGTAACTCAATAAAACCAGTAACTAGAAAATAGACGTAAAAAGGAAGGAGAAAAATAAATAACCTTAAAAAAAAGCCTAATACTTTTTTTTAAAACCAGTTTGGCCCATGTTACTCAAACATGAAGTTAATGTGATGGAGGCTTTATACTATGATGACATCTGTCATTCATGTATTAAGTCATGTATTTCACAGACCTCATTAATTTATAATTTGAAATTGCATTTGACCATGAACCCCTGATGTATCCTCTTCCAACTTTCCATTAAAATACTAGTAAAGAAGTAGACATAATTGAGAATTTGCAAGCTATGATTGTCAGACAGCATATTACAGAATGTGTTAAGTTTCTTTCAGGCCCATGGAAGTGGATTAAGAAAACTGACATTAATTTGAGAAACCAAAGCCCATTACAAGATGTATCTTCATTCCATTTGCTCCCCGGAAGACATGGAGTTTGTACCAGATAACTTACGAGCTGTTTCTCAATTACATGTGTGTGTGTGTGTGTTTGTGTGTGTGTGTGTATGTGTGTCTGTGTGTGTTTGTTTGTTTTTGGTGCACCAAGAGACAGCTTTCACAAATAAGATAAGGGTGGATGAGAACAAATGTTTGAATATTGTGTTTGTTAAGTGACAACAGCTTTATACTGACTGCTAAAAATTTGTAGTTTTTATACTCAATAAGGTTAAAGGACAATTTCTGGCATTAGAATAACCTGTAAAACTTTTTTTTAAAAGAAACCAGTTATGTACCCACCCCCAGAGATTCTGATTCAAAACAATTTTTCATGTATCCTAGACATCTCCTTTAAAAAAAAAAATTCTAAAAAAATAAATAAACGTTGAAAAAAAAATTAAAAAAAAAAAAAAAAGTCTAGGGGCGCCTGGGTGGCTCAGTCGGTTAAGCGTCCGACTTCGGCTCAGGTGGTGATCCCGCGGTCCATGAGTTCGAGCTCGCGTCGGGCTCTGTGCTGACAGCTCAGAGCCTGGGGCCTGTTTCAGATTCTGTGCCTCCCTCTCTCTGACCCTCCCCCGTTCATGCTCTGTCTCTCTCTGTCTCAAAAAATAAATAAACGTTAAAAAAATTAAAAACAATATTAAAAAAAATTCTATATAGAGTCCCTGATAAAGAGATACAGAAAACCACAGGATAGGAGAAGGTATTCCCGAGTATGACAAAGTCACATAATATGATGCTTGCTAGAATCTGAGAATTAGCCTACAAGTTATGTATATTCAACTATTCTCAGACTGTAGCCCTGAGAAGATTTATTACTCCCACAAACAGAGATTTGGAAAAACCACCAACATGCTCAGTTACTATGTTACAAGTCTGGTGTGACCTTGTCTCAAAAAATAGAGAAAATTATGAAGCTGTTTTTTAAAGCATTATAAAAAAATAAAGGCAACATCTTGAATATTTATTTGACAATTTTTGAGTGTCAAATATATTTCAAGTATAAAATATCTGTCAAGCAAAATGAAATATAATAGTAAACAAAACAAAACAAAACAAAGGACCCTATCTTGTGGAGCTTATACTTTAAAGGAGACAAACATTACCAATGTTATAAAATTAACTGTTATAAAATTATAAAATGATATAAATTAAAAGAATAAATTTATATTTATAAATGTGATATGTGCAGTGAAGGAAAAGAACATTAAAATATGCCTCAGATTATTTGATCTAGTTCAGAATCCAAGAATCCAGAATATTAATCCTTAATTCAATGGCATTTATTAAACAGGAATACAAATCCTAGAGGAAAGCAGAGGGGAGTGGGAATTCTACAAAAATATGAATAAGGAAAGTTTGCAAGGGCGCAAAATAGTGCAAGAGTGTAATTAAGACACACATTGGATAAGGTTAAAAGAAGACAATGGCCAAAAAACCTTATCAATGATGAAATTGAATTTGAAAATTTGTGAAAATGTGGAGGAAAAAGATAAAAAAGCAAATTATGGAAAAAAGGTAGGTGATTTAGAAGTCAGATGGCAATTTAGAGGACAAACTAAAGCACCAACCTAGGAAATTCGATATATTTGAAGAGGAAATCAGATCTAGAAAAGAAACATTAAAAATTTAGTGGCAGAATGCCTTTCTGCTGTGAAGAGAGACTTCAGTATACAGACTAAGACTTTTTATTTGCACCCTGTCTTTACATTCCCATCCATTTTCATGCAGGGGGAACTTTGACTATGATATTTCTTCCTTCTGAATTTTTTTCCACTTAATTAACTGTGTCTCAGCACTCAGATCTAGGCTCAATCACCATTCCTTCAGTGTCTCTGACTTCTCTGCTTAAAAATCCTCCAATTATATTTGTAGCAACATAGGACTTAAAAAAATAGTGATTTTACATCTATTTATGATTTGTTAACTGTCTCCCTCACAGTCATATGCTCTAGGAAGGTAGAAATTGAACTCATTTTACCTATTTTATTTCCAGCATTCAGCTCAGTGTCCTACACATAGCGGGTGCTTTATCAATTATTTTTGAATGAAGGAATAAGTGAATGAATAAATGAACTCCAAAAATGCCACTCATAAAAACAATATGCAAACATTTTAAAGTTCCATTAAGGTCATTGGATAGGGAGTGGGGACTTTAGATGTTTTGAAATTTTTCTTTAATATTTTTTTTTTATTTTTTTTTTTTATTTTTTTTTTTTAAATTTTTTTTTTCAACGTTTATTTATTTTTGGGACAGAGAGAGACAGAGCATGAACGGGGGAGGGGCAGAGAGAGAGGGAGACACAGAATCGGAAACAGGCTCCAGGCTCTGAGCCATCAGCCCAGAGCCCGACGCGGGGCTCGAACTCACGGACCGCGAGATCGTGACCTGGCTGAAGTCGGACGCTTAACCGACTGCGCCACCCAGGCGCCCCTTCTTTAATATTTTTAAATGAAAAATAAAATTTTAAAACATTTATTTTCTTATTTTGAAAGAGAGAGAGAGAATGATCAGGGGAGGGGCAGAGAAGAGAGGTTGAGAGAGAATCCCAAACAGGCTCTGCACTCTCATCACAGAGCCTGACATGGGGCTCAATCCCACAAACCATGGGATCATGATCTGAGCTGAAATCAAGAGTGGGACACTTAACCAACTGAGCCACCCAGGTGTCCCTAAGAAATACTTTTCAAAATGTTAAAAATATCTTTTGACTGCCATCTACATGCTAAGCACAGGTAACAAAAACATTTATGAAACAGAGTCTTTGCCCTATGGGAGCCCACAAAAGAGTTGGAGAAACAGGCATGTAAACATATGAAAATATACACTATAATAAATACTATTCTAGAATAAACATGTCCTTGTCTCTCATTCACGGGGACCATTCTCATCTCTGTTTCAATTTCAACATAGGTATTTTTGGATATTTTACCAAAAATTGAGAATTAATAATAAAAAAATTCCAGTGAGAAGATCACTATGCAAGTGGTACATTTTCAGCAACACTGTGGAACACTCCTGCCCCTAAGTCATAGATGGATCTTTGACCCCAAACCAATCTCCATTATTAAACCTGATGTTGCCCCAAGTTCCATCATTAGAAGTTTATTCTTTTGAATTAACACTTGGTCTTCACTTAAATTGGAAGGGATCATGTATTATTAGTCATGTAATAGTGTGAGTAAGATTCCAATCTTTTCTCTAGAAGCAGGTTTGTGATAATGGGAATGGAGAACATGAGGATATTCCGAAAATAAGAGAAAAGGTCACAGAAAAGTGAGATTATAAACACCAAAATATCCTTTGTCTATTTTTAGGATTGATATTAATGATACAGTCCTATACAGTTTAAATCTGCAAAAAATGTTCCATTGAGTCACATTCACTTAAATAAATGTCTTCATTTGTCTAATGAATTTGTCTAATCATTTGTCTCATAATCTGTTTAATATCTGAGCTTGATTCTGATGATTTGTCTATTCAGACAGTGTGTTTTATTGTTTTTTGTGTGTCTTATACTTTTTTGTTGAAGTCCATAAATGTATTATAGGACAGTCAATACTGAAGTGAATATCTTCTTTATTTGTAGATGAGTCCATCTTTCCTTCGGCTAGGACTGTATTGTGGGTTTGTTGCAGAAGTAGAGCTGGGTTTGGAGTTTGTTTTTGCTATAGATACCCTCAGTGTACCTAGGGCTTCAGATTCCTCCAGGGAAACCTTGTGTTTAGAGTTCTACTCCCTATATGGATTTGGTTCTCCCTTTTGTTTTGTTACCCAGAAATAATCTGTGTCTTCTAGCTCTCCCACTGTATTCCACTCTTATTCTTACTAGATGCTTGCTACTATGGTGGGGTTTACAGGTATAGAGGAGGGAGACTGAAACAAACTCTGTGAACCTAGGTCTTGGGAGTGAAACTTTTCTTTCTTGCTTCCCTTCCCAATTGTAGTAGTTTTCACCAGTAACCCTGAGCTACAGTTTTTGTTGCCATTCCCCACTGGAAAGAAAGGCTGTTGTTACTTAGTGGAAAGAGGGGGTACTGGTCTGTGTAGAATTTGACGAGTGCCTGCTGTTTTCTCTCCCCCAGCCAGCATTAATAGTGCTTTTACAAGATTCTCTCTAATGTTCCCTGAGGATACCTGGTTGGGCTCATGGAGGAATCACCTGCAAGAGGTGTAAAACCCTTCTTTTTGCCACCTTCAGGACCTTCACATGCCAACCCACATATGGTCTTTAGGTACTCA